GGCAGTTCAAGATCTTCATCATGGTCTTCTGCTTCGGGATTCGTCAAAATTGCAGGTGGCGAAGGTACCACGACAGTCAGAAGAATTGGTTGAGATGATTGCGACTGTGACGGCAAAGAGACATCACCCCCCAGTCGATTGAGTCCGCTTGAGGATGAAATGGACTGTTTTTGCCGTTTAAGCGCTGAATCTCCTCTGCCAGGCTTGTCGTGTGGCGGCAACGGTGGATCTACTGGACTGTCTGGTGATACACCTTGCGGTGCTGGCGGCATGGGATGATCAGGCTGATGTGGAGGATCCGGAGGAGGATCTGACATGTGCTCGTCCGGTGGAGTCGGAGGTCTTGGATCAAGCATGGGATGGTCCGGTTGATCAGGTGGCTGCTGTGTGTCAGGTTGTCGAGGTTCATCCGTTGGATCTGCTGGATCCGTCTCGATGGGCATCGGCTTGATAGCCGGCGCATCTGAGAATGACTGATGAACGGATGAAAACATCACTGCATGCCAAGTCTTCGGATCATAATTCTCCCAATTGCATTTGGATGCAGGCAAGACCCAAATTCTATTCAGCTGATCAGGTTGCCAGAAGGATATGATCGCATCGTCCGGAGGTGACGTGATTGGCATGTTAATGCCGATGGTGTGGACGTATGCTGTGCATGCATCTTACTGAGTGGATGAGATGCACAATTGTCTCAACTTCTCGCAACCATTCCACATGTTCTGACATCGCCAGTCATTAGGATCTTGTTTGAAGATATCGATCTCAGTCCCCGGTGGGTACTGCTTCATCGTCTTCTGAAACTTTTGGACTACCGAAACTTGGATGACCAATGGTTGAACGTCCTTGTTGAATGGGAGGTCCTGAATTCTGACCACAAGACTACTGCTAGTCATGTTGAACTCTTTGTCAATGGCTTCCATCTCCTTTCTTAGGATGTCAACCTGCTTGATGGTGAATGGTTCGAAAAGGTCCTCCAAGAGGTACACCTCGTTGTCAAGTGGTTTTACCTTCAAGTGTCGCAGGAGAATGTGCGCGAGATCCTGACAGAACTGGTAAGGATACACCTGTGCCAGTTTGGTTCTGCTTCCGTCTAAGAACCCAGGACCATTCCTTTTGAGCATACCCCAAAAATACGTGTTTTAGCATATTTTGGGCTATTTTGGGCATGTTTGACAATGATGCTCGCAAGGTAAGGTGCAAAGCTATTAATTCGATTAGGGACAGCCAAGGGCGCAGCGAGGGTTTAACTTGCTCTGATGGACTCTGCAAACAGGCCTGGGATTAAAGCTGCTACGTTAATTTTCGGTGATGATGAGAACTCATTTCGGCTTCCGAACAAGGGTAAGCACGTGGGTTAGTTTAGGCCCCAGGGTACGCCCCAAGGGTAGCCATGTCCTCAATTCTCCAATCCTGGGAACAGGAGTTGGGGGCGGTTTGGGAGTCTTTTCCCCCGGAAACATTAACAATATACCCCGAACCTTGCCAATTTGGGGTATGCTCAAATCAGGGCCCAATTTCCACGGCATACGCAGCCTGACTTGAGCATACCCCAACCCCACCATTCCACCAAAACACACATTCCGGACCCTGAAGCTGGGGACCTAGTGAAGGGGGGAAGCCGACCGCAGTGCCATGCCATAGTTTCCCACAACAAGTGCTTTTTCGGTGGGACAGGTCCCAGGATTGGTTGGAACAGCTTTCACTGCAGTTTACAAAAGCTGATCCGGGTTTCCATCATGTGCAGAACCATGCTGGCCACAGCAAGGGATCAAATCAGGCGCAGAATTGGTAAACAGTTCTTTGAAAGCTCTCACCTTTTTCACTTTGCGTTGACCCTTCACCGGCCACAGAAAGTGCATAGCAAAAACCTGCGTGATGCAAATTGGAGTAGGCTAAAACCTTGAAAACTGTGCCAAAACTGGTCGGGGTATGGTCAGGTATGGTGTAGAGTTCTTAGATTCCGAAAGTACCAGCATTTCCCTCGGGGTTGATGCTCGTGCTGGACTGAGCTGGTAAAATTTTTACACTTTCTGAAGATTGGTCTCATTACCTCGGGAGGTAAACAGTGCATCAAGCTCGTGGGCTTGAGACTTCTGAGTCCGGATTCAGGATCCTTCAGTCCGTATGGAAATCTGCCCAGGTCACGGATGGATCTGAAAATAGTTGCTGCATACAGTTCAGATACCATATCTTGGATGTCTGAGGATTTTCAATGATGAAGTATCTTCCGTGCTTCAACTGATATCGCGCAATGGATGCCACAAACTCAACCATGCGAAGATAGCGTTTCCGCTTCTCCCAGACTCTTTGTTGGTCTTGTTGGATGTTCTGCATATTTGACCACGGTCCACAGACCGGTGGCATGAGGATTACATCAGGTCCTTGCTCCTTGATGATCTCCATGACCATGTGTCGTCCCTTGGATGTCATTACGTCGAATCCAGTGCGGATGTCTACGGGAGTCCCAACCTTAAGACCTGTGAGTACGCAGCATTGACTGAATCTGGCACTTCCTGCAAAGATCTCGAGAACGTGGATCTTTCCTTTACGTACACAATTCCAATGTGCTTGTTCAGGAACGGATGTGAGGTCCTCGACGAACATGTTCTCTGCCGGATGAGGTGCTGCAGGCTTGCGAGTTGTGTTTCCCGCGATGCGTAATGGCACTGAGGATTTTGGCTTAGGAGCTGGTGCGGGTGACTCCTTCTTCTTGGAATCGGCTGAGGAGCCGGCTTGCTCTTTCTGCAAGGATTCTCGCTCTTCTGGCAAGAGAAGATCAATTCCAGGTTTGTCGGAGGGATGGTTTCATCCTTTCTGACCTTTGTCATGTCCGCCCTTTCCGTTGCCATTTTCATAGGATGGAAAACCCTTGTTTCCATCATAGGGATATTGGAATTTGGATTTTCCTTTCTTTCCCTTCTTTCCTTTGCCTTTTCCCCAATATGCCTGGTCGTAGGGATCATAGTTTTCATTGGCCATATTGGCCTTCCCGCCAGAACCGCTTTTTCGAAAGGGTTTGAAGCCACCTCGTTGGTGACTGCCCTTTTTGTTTCCTGATTTCCCTTTTCCTTTTCTCTTTTTGAATCTGAAATTCCGCCCTGACACTTTTCTTGCTATGAACGCATCGTTCTCTTCGAGGACCCAGAATGTCTCTTCATCGTTGTTTGACATGAATCCTTCAAGTCCATCTTCATCTTCAACCCAAAAGCCTTCTTCTCCTTCGTATTCGCCTTTTGCAAGATCCTGATGAAGGAGTCAACTATTTCAAGAACACGCTGAAGAAGTACTTCCTGAAGGGTGCGACCAACGTGTATCTGTACAGGCTCCTCAGTGTCTTCAATCATAGAAGGCAGAACCAAGAGTTCCTCATTTTTACCTCAAAATTCGACATCCTTCTCATGAGATTGAAGGCAGCATGGATGGACTTGATGCCCGTCTTCACGGCACAGTCCCCATCATTTCGACAGTCCGTACAGGACGCAAACGCAAGAACACTTGCTCGACATCAGCAAGCAGCTGGTACTCGAGTACCGCCTCCAGTCCTGCTCAACGAGGATGATCCGACAGTCCTCAGACAGTATATCACGGAAATGCAGGACAGACAGCGGGACGCATTTCTCTACGGGGATAATCTCATTGCGCAGTTTTTCATCATTCAGAGTGAGGTGTCAGATCAGCAGAGAGAAAGACTAACCAGTGCTATGTCACTGAGAAACATTTCACTAGAGCGCTACTCCTATGAGATGCTGAAGACGCATTACCATGAACTCTTCATCACGACCAGGACATCCATCCAAGATCCATCCATCCGACCTCAAGGAGGCAACCGAAGCAACACATTCTTCATCCTCGAACCAGCTGACGTTTCCGTCGTACGATGGCGGCTGCTTGGCGGTCATCGATAAGTTGAGTGTTTCCTCCGTATAGCCGGATGATTTGGCCATACTTGAATAGGCCTCCATGAAGCCTTCTCCATCGGATGACATTTTTCCTTGGATCTCTGCGGAAAACCTGCTCCGCTACCACAAATTGAGGCCCACTGCCGGGGGTACCTATCCCAGAAGGGAACTGGTACCTTGTGGTAGTAGAGGTCGTTTATTTTCCCTGGATCTATTCCGGAGAGAGTCCAATATGCCAATATGGATGCTTGGAGGATGGATTGTCCCTGGTGGCTTGGATTGACTGTTATACCTGTAAAGCGGTCTGCAAGCCTTCTATCAATGTACCATGCGTCTGATGACTGTACAATTGAAATAGAAGGGCCTTGGGCCAAAGGTTGCAGGAGATCAAGTGTTCAACAAACCAAACACAGGGGGGGTAGGGTTTTTGAGGGTTTGAGGGAGCCGTTGCCCAAACCATCGTCGGAAGTCAGCTGCGTGTTCTGAAACGCGGAAGCCGACCAAAACCCCCCAGGGACTTCTATGTTAGCATTTATCAAAAGCCTGGTTGTTTCTTCGACTAACCTGCAAAAAAAAACCTTCGGAGCTTCCTGTTTAACTCCAGGGAGTGTACCACCTAAATACCATAATCCTTGGACCTGATTCCAGTAGGAGACAGCAATCCGACAGAAAGAGACATCTCAATGACCAGCTGTTGGTTGACACCCACGCTTCCTCAGCCTTTTTATGGTTGGATGCAGGATGCATCCTGGTTGAGTGGCTTGCCAATAATCTGCATGCCTCCGCAGAGATGGTGAGACATTGGGGCAGCCGTTGTTTCAAGTCGCTTTGAACTTTATCCGGGAATCAGGGAAGCCCCGCAAAACGTGGTTGGTGAACTTCATTCCCACCTAAATAACGTCCACCAAAGGGTCCCCAACTGAATACCCAAGTGTGGTTTTTTTGGTGGTTCTTTGTCCGTTTGACGTGGTCCTTCCTTCAAGACCTCGATGCGACATCCGCAGCCGAAGGTTTCGCTTCCTCAAGTTGACTTACGAGGGGACGAGAAATGTAAAGCCGGGGTTGACATGATCAAAAGAGCCACAGCGAAGAGCGGAGGTTTGCAGCAAAATGGAGCTGGTGGAGAAGCCTGAGAGCTACAAGCAGCCAGAGCCCAAGATCGGACTTCGCAACCCTGCAACTTTGCGACCACTTGTGTACGCATGACAGAAAGATCCAGAAAGCGTATGAACTACTTGTGGGAAGTACCAGTATGTGTGCGTGTGTCAGTGTGCGCATCGAATATTTGGTGCCACAATCAGGGAGTTGAATTATTGTTTCAACTTGTGGAATGCGCGCATGGCTAGTTCTCGGGCCTCCTGCTTGCCTGCGGTACAAGCAAGAGCTGTGTCTCACACATACTGCGATTGTTCACGTGAGTCGTGTCTTGGTCATTGCAAACTGCACCTCATGTTGAGTTCCGCCGAGAGACTTATAATGTCTGTTGTGTGTTGTGTGTTGTGTGTATTGGCCATATTCGTCCATGCTTGCAGCATATGTTTTTGAACAGCAGTGGTTCAACCACGGATTTCGCATGCTGGGTAGAAGCAAACTTGCATGGTCCACAACTGCCCATTGAGATGACAAGAGTAAACCCTTCGCCCTTCCTGATTGAATCCTTAGCAGCTTGCTCGGCAGAGGGGAGTAATGATTCTTAAGATTCCGAGCCTGAAATTGCAGTAGCCGCATCTTCAATCAGAAGGTGTTTCCTCCCCTGAGGATAGAGGAGAAACATCCTGACATCGCGTTGTTCAGCCAAGTGCCGAACAAGGCCGCGGGGATTGAGTTGAGACACGGACGCAGACATGGGGCCCTTGGTCGCGCTTGGGCTAACTAGTTGCTCCCTTGCTGAAGCTGTATGACAGACGCGAGCGGGTTTTTCCTTTGTGAACATCAGCGTGTCGCGTATTTGTCTTTAGTTGGCGGTTTGGATTGGTGGTTTGGGGATCTGACAGACGCGAGCGGGTTTTTCCTTTGTGAACATCAGCGTGTCGCGTATTTTTCTTTAGTTGGCGGTTTGGATTGGTGGTTTGGGGATTTGAACCCCTGGTTCTTGTAGAGATAGGAAACCAGCCCCACACCTTCAAACCACCCACCAAGGGGGAAGCTGATTTGATTCATGGGGTCATGGGGCCAAACTTGGCTGGTCGAGCTCTTTGCAGAAATTGCAGAACTGGCTTGTCGAACCTTGGCCGTGGGAGAGCTTGGTACGTACCTTCGCGCATTTGACATGACCAACATCCCGAAAGGTGCTGGTCCAAACGGGTCCCTGACTCGGCTTGATCTTAAGGCCAAGCAAAACGCCTTGTGATGCTCCAAAAGAGAGCCTGCTTTGTTCATTTGTAGGGGGAATGGTCAAACACATCCATTGCCCAGGGGATGACAAGAGGGGGTAACGAGCCCGGAAGGATATGTCAGTGGGGGGGGGCAAGAAACTGCTTGCCCGACATCAACTGGCTTGCCAGGATTCTCAGCAAGCACGGAGCAAGCCAATCTGGAAAACGCCACGCCCCAGTGCTTGTCCATGGTCACAATGTTAAAGAAGCCCTCGAAAAGGCACTGTTCTTGCCAGCATCCTATAGAAAACCACCCATACAAGCAAAACAACACACAGCTACAACCCTTCCACCCACAGATGTGGAAAATGCACAGGCAGCCAAAAGGCTTCGTTTGCGGGTCCAGGTAGAGTCCGCGCCCCACGCACCCAGCAGTTTGTAGAGCTTGCAGGAACATCAGGGACAAAATAATTGTGTTTTTTGATACCCTTTTTCGGGTTGGTTTACAAGGGGAACCAGCCACCCATTTTGGGGGTTCCAAATCATATTTTGAGACACCCTAAATGGCTGCGGCTCAAAAATGGGGTACCCCCAAAATGGAACCCGAAATGGAACCCGAAATGGACATGGACTAACACCTGCGGTCTACCATTTGGGTAAAGAGGATGACTAGACCATGGGGGAGTTGATTCGCCATCTTCCACCCTGCATGTCTCAAATAGGGAATCCTCAGAACAGGTGTCCAACGTAACTACCTTCACCATTCCCCTGTAAACCCCAACGATCCCAACGAAAATCCCAACGCAAATCCCAAGCACCCAACGAAAACGAAAATCCCCAACGGAACCAACGAAGCCAACAAATGTTTCGATTCCCATTTCCATGGCCAGTACCTTCGATTTTTCTGTAAAGCCCCTGTAAACCTGCAACTACCGTCCCCAAGCGAAAAATCCCCTTCACCAATCCCCACCATTCCCCTGGTAAACCCCGGGTTTTGATTCGATTCCCCGACCGAAAAAAATCCGCAAGCACCGAAGGGCGACCGAACGGCGCCGCCCAAAAAACGCCTCGAGGACTGGGCGCCGCTGCCCACGCCGCTGGGCAGCTTCATGGGCTCGGAGAGCCGCAGGCGCGGCCCGGTTGGTTTGGTGTGGGTTGGTTCGTTTTATTTCGGGGGGGTTGGTTTGGTTGGGTTTGGTTTGTTGGTTTGGGTTGGATTGCTGGTTTGGTTTGCTGGTTTGGTTTGGTGTTGTTTGTTTTGTTTGTTTTGGTTGGTGGTTTCGTTGGTTTGTTGGGTTTGGTTTGTTGGTTATGTTCGGTGTTGTTTGCTTTGGTTTGAATTGATTTGTTGGGTTTGGTGTGGGTGTGGCCGGGTGTGGGTGTTATGTGTTCTTCTGGTTGGGGGGGGGGGGGTTGGTTTGTTTTGGTTTGTTCTGGTCTGTTGGTTTGTTCTGGTCTGTTGGATTGGTTTGGCTTCGTTTGATTTCTTTGTGTCTTGGATTGAATCTTTTTTTGGGGGTGTTAGTTTTGGTTCTCTGGTTTGTTGGTTTGGTTTGTGTTTCTGTGGTTTGTTTGCGTTGATTGTTGTTTGTGTGTGTGTGTTTGGTTGGTTTGGTTTGGCGTTGTTTGTTTGTTGTGTTTGTTTTGCTTTCTTTGTTGGTTTGGTTTTGTTTGTTTTGCTTTTGTTTTGGTTTGAGTTGATTTGTTGGATTCGGGTTGTTTTGGTCCTTTTTTGTTGGGGGTTGGTTTCGTTTGTTGGTTTGGTTTGTTGTTGTTTGTTTTGTTTGGTTTCGTTTTGCTTCGTTGGTTTTTTGAGTTGGCTTGGTTTCATTTGGTTTGTTGGGTTTGATTTGTTTGGGTTTGTTGGTTTTGAGTTGGTATGGATTTGTTTTGGTTTGTTGGTCATGTTCGGTTTTGTTTGTTTTTTGTTTTTTTTGCGCGGGGGGTGTTAGTGTGGGTTGGCTTCGTTTGATTTGGTTTGAATCGATTTGTAGGTTTCGGATTGTTGTGTTTTTTGTTGTTGGAGGGATTAGCTGGTTGTGTTTCCTTGTTTTTCTGGTTTGTTGGTTTGGTTAGCTTTTTTTGTTGTTTGTGTTTGTTTGCTGTTTTTTTTTTTTGTTGGTGTCGGCTTGTTCTGGTTTGTTGGACTGGTTTGGTATTGTTTGTCTTGGGTGGAATTTATTTCTCGGTTTCGGGTTGTTGTTGTTTTTTGGTGTGGCTTTAGCTTGCTTGTTTGGTGTTTGGTCTGGTTTGATTTGCTTTGGTGTGTGTGTGTGTTCTTTGTTTCTGTTTGTTGGTTTGTCTTTCTTTGTCTGTTTGGGGCTTGGTTTTGCTTGGTTTGAATGAATTTGTTGGTTTGGGTTTGTTTGGGTTTGTTTGGGTTTGTTTGTTTGCTTTGTTTGCTTTGTTTGCTTCCTTGCAGGACGGATGAGAGCAGCGACGCTGATGGCAGAGAGGAGGGCCGCCGCAAGGACGGCCGAGAAAACCTCGGGCACTCATGAAGGTTGCTCTCTCACGTGGTCTCCTCCCAACGGGTTTGACATTTTAGGATACTAGGGTCAGTTCTTTTTGGGGGGTACCCAAATTTGGGGGTTAAAAGGACACCAACAGGAATGTATGCCGCCATTCATGTGGTCCCCTTATTTGAAGACACGTCCATTGAACATCTTATTTTCCGCTTATCCAGATTGGGGGCCATGTCTTGGAGGTCAATTTGACTCTCTCAAGTCAAAGATTATGACTCACCCAGATGGATGAATTTTGAGGATCACAACCGGGGGGCGCTGGAAGAAAAGCTGTATTTTAGCCCTCCACTTCCCGTTTGCGCATGTTTCGAACATTGTATTCCCACCGGGATAAAATCAGGGTTCCCTGCTGTATATGAGCGCCCAGCAAACCTTTGGAAGACCAATAATATGTCAAGGGCCGGACGTGTAGTAGAATGTGCCAAAAGTCTGCAAAACGGTAGGGTTACAAACAAAAGATACCTCGAGTAGATATGGTTGACTACCCTTACGCAATGCAAGGAAATGACAAGCTGCCAGAGTGTACTTCGTATCCTACACTTTTGCTGTAAAAGCTTAAACTTTCGAGCCGGAGCGGCCAAAGTGTACTTCCGTTGCTACCTGCACTTTTAAGCCGGAGCCTGCCAAAGTGTGCTTCCTTCACTACACCTCTGCTGAACAGTTGCGTCGAGCCGGGGCTGCCAAAGTGTACTTTGTATTCTTGTGAAGCGCAAAATTATGCAAAACCTTGCGGAGCGATAGGTTTGCAGAAAAAGTCGCTGCCCAATGTCCTCGGCCTTCGCAAGTTTCTCATATGCTTAATTTGGATGTTAATACATCATCTTTGGAGCCAGTGTGCAGTGTGTTTTCTAGTTGCAGCCAACTCAGCCGACTTTTAAAGGGACCCTGTGTCAAGTCTGTCAAGTGGAGAGTTGCAGATTGGTTTTCGGGTACACCCTGACCTCCGTTTACCCCTGACAGCCTGCTAATCCAAGAAAGAAATTGACAGCCCTGCCTGATGAATGCGTTCTTCGTTTGTTTCGTTTGTGCTTCAACTAAAGTACTTCAAGTACATGCGTTTGTACTTTAGATCTTGATGTAGTTTGTGTTTCAACCAATGCTCAAACCCGCGCCAGGAACGGACGTGGGCCTCGAATCGCTCCTCCAGTGCGGATTTGGAGGTTGGAGGGGAGGGAGAGCGGTGCCAACGCTACCGCGTAGCAGAAACGAGTGCCTGGCAAAATGTAATGACCAAAGGAAAGACAGGACAACACCGGCAACAAATTTCCAATGATTCATGGATGACGGAGTCTGGGTTGCATGGTTTTCAATGCTCCAGTATAATATTTGCAGCGCGGCAATTACCAACCAGAACCAGGCAAAGCGGATTACATATTGTGATTAGGCCCCAGTGGACAGGGAGGAATGTGTTGCGAAGGGCTTTTTTGGGCGATGTTCCCCTCAAAGGTGAAGGTGAAGGTTGCCTGCTGAAATGGGACGACCCCTTTAATCAACCAGGGCGTTTATTCATCTTGGATCCCCCTTTGAAGCACGTAGCACTGCACAGGCCCAACCCGGAAGCCCCCGCGATACGATGTCAATGTTTACGATATTGCGTTGGCATCCTTACATGTCTAAGGATTAGTGACCATATGTTTGCGTCTGCATGTTTGACCAACACCGCTTACCGATTCGCGCCGGCTCACGCCGATTCGCGCCGGCTCACGTCAATTCGTGCTGGCTCACGCCGGTTCGCACCGGTTGGCACCAGTCAGACCGATTCACACCAGTTAGCACCAATTCACGCCGGTTCTTCTTTGCTTGTAGCTGTTCTTTCTGAATGCTCGTGGGTGGTGAAGTTGACAACACTGACTCAGGCAAACACAGTATCTCAGTTGTGTTGAAACTAAAGTCAGGGCAGCGCAGTGCCCCAAGTCAGTGGGACAAGCTGCAAGCAAGACACCACTAGTTGTTCTTGTCCACTATATGCTTTTACATGAACCCATGGCGGCGCGCTGTACATCTCGACTGCTTCCTGCTTGATGTGTTGACCCACTAGTGGCACCACGGCGCAGCTGTAGAGGAAACACATAAGCGGTTCATGGAGAAGTGACGGTGCATGAAGCGGATGCCTCATACGGTATGACTCATACGTCTATGCTGTAGCAGCTATTGCCAAGCTGGTGAAAAAAAACTTAAATCCTTTCTCATGATGGACCTCTCCTGCAATGAAAGGAATACTCATGCAATGACTGCTGCCTTATTCAGGTGAAGGTGGCCAACAGGATTCGATCACTGTGATTTTGCTAAAGCACTTGTAGCCGACACTTGCCATTTGCAGATCTGCCCAGCCTTCACATGCTCGGACCTCCATTTGGCAGGTTGGGGACTCCCCATCGCACCGGTCCCGCGGGACCCCCCGGCCAGGGAGCGCGCGACTGGGAGTGGGAGAACTGGCAAGATCCCAGCAGTGGGCCGGGGTTCCCAGAATCTCAGCCCGGTGGGTGAAACCCCATCGATACCTTGAGGGCTGAAGGTTTTTGGGCAGAAACCCCTCTCGGAGTTTTTTGCCGCTGCAGGTTCTCAAAGTCAACAAAACAACGGCTTTCCTCAAAACTGCACCTTGGGATGTGGACAAAATGGGGCTACCCGACGGAGGCGTTCCATGGATTCCATTTCAGAGAGGTGGTTTCCTGGTTTCAGCCAAAAGCCAGGAGAAACCCCAGGATTGGCCGTGGTCTAAAACGAAATCCGGTTTCGAAGAGTCACGAAATTGCAGACACGGGAGGACGACAGCATTTCACACGAAAGCCGAGGGGAGCTTGTCCCATTTTCCCTCATGGGGAACAAAGCATATTGCTTGTGAGTCATATGCAACAATGCATCTAAGGCAACTGGAAGTTTGCGATCCGGCGATGCGTTTGCGTCGCCAAAACACTGTCAGCAATGCACAGATTGCAGCTTGCGGAGTCCTTGGGGCTCCTCCCTATCCAACTTGCTGGGCCACATGTTGCGCAGAATTCTGACCCATTCCTGGCAAGTTCTGGAGTTAGTTTGGCTTCATTCCGGGTACACTCATCCCATGTGATGCCCAAGGCTCGCCCAATGACGAAGTGTGGCGCACGGCGACTCGTATCACATCAATCAAACTATTTGGAGCGGCCGTTCTACTCGAGGTTTCCGAAGTGGGGTCAATCTATGGGAAGGAGCGCCCACGGATCAGGTGGTCGGACAGCCGACGCCGGGAGGAGTGGTGCGCAGCCTCAGATCTGGGTCCATTTAAAGGTGCTCCCATTGTGGAATGTTTTTTTCACGGAATCCCAAAAAGGGCGGGTGTTGCTTCTGCTTTCCCGTTAAATTCACCACAAAAGCTGAAGATAAACGGGTACCGTCAAAAAGACACGCCCCCTGTCATGTCAACCGTCACACATTCCAATTTGCACGCGTTTGCGCGACTTCCTGAATTGGCACGCTGTCACTTCCATGTGAACCTCAAATGTTTACTTTCATGTCTGTGTCCTGAACAAGTTCTCAGGAGGATTGTCTAGGTTTGATACAACCAAACAAATCGCCCACCACAAATCGTTGTTTTTGTTAGAGATCCTTGTAATTCGGTTGTTTTGTTGGCCTGATTGTTTGTTTGATTGCTTGCTTGCTTGTTATTTGGTTGTTTGGTTGTCTTGCTTGGTTGCTTGGTTGCTTGGTTGCTTGGTTGTTTGGTTGTTTGGTTGCCCTGGTTGTTTCATTGTTTGGTTGCTTGGTTGTTGGGTTGTTGGGTTGGTTTGTTGTTTGCTTGTTTGCTTGCTTGTTGCTTGGTTGTTTGGTTGTTTGGTTGTTAATTTGTTTGTTTGTTTGTTTGTTTGCTTGCTTGTTTGTTTGTTTGTTTGTTAGTTTGCTTGTTTGTTTGTTTGTTTGTTTAGTGGTTTGGTTGCTTGCGTGTTTGCTTGTTCTCTTGTTTGTTTCTTTGCTTGCTTGCTTGCTTGCTTGCTTGCTTGCTTGCTTGCTTGCTTGCTTGCTTGCTTGCTTGCTTGCTTGCTTGCTTGCTTGCTTGCTTGCTTGCTTGCTTGCTTGCTTGCTTGCTTGTTTGGTGGCTTGGATGTTTGCTCACTGGGTTGTTTGGATGTTTAGTTGTTTGCTTGCTTGATTGTTTGGATCCTTTGCTGTTTCATTGTGTGGTTGCTTGGTTGTTTGAGCAGCTGCGGCATGTCCGGTGTATCTAAGCAACTGGTTTCCGTTTGGTAGGGCCTTCACTGCCATTCGCCAATCTGGGGCAGTTCTGACATGGGGTCGTGCAGACAAAGGCGGAGACATCAGCCAGGTGCAAGCGCAGCTTAGCTTGTAATTTGGTTGTGGTACAGCATGGACGGCGCAAACCGTGCTGACAGTAAGGAACAGCAGGTGCAGTCCACAGTTGGATTCGGCATCCGAAGCGAGTCTTAGAGTTCAGATTTGGGGTTTTGTGTGTTTCGGTTGGTTTTGGTTTGGTGTTTTGTGTGGTGCCCCTGCTTTGACACACGCATCTTCTTGGGGATGACTTGATGCCCAGGCACCAAATTGTCACTAAGTTCGAGATGCAGACCGAATACCCAGTGTGGCTGAAGTTTGGCTTTAAAGGTCGTTGCTCCCAGGTTCGACCCTTGTGAAGCGTGGCTGAAGTCCGCAATGCCAGGGGTTCAGCTGGGTTGTTTAGGATCAATCCTCAATCCTTTTGCCAGATGAGCGTTCTCTTATAGTGGCGCGCCCACACGGATTACGGACGGAGGGATCCACCCATTTCGGTGCCGGTTTAGTTACGTGGGTGTGTCTTTTTTAGGGGTACCCCCAACATGGAGCTCGGTTTTCCGTTTGGTTTTCCTTTAAACTAACCAAAAATGGGATACCATCAAAAAAGACGAGCCACCCACATTGGACATGTTCCAATTTTGGTCTGAGTCTCCCGCAAATGTCGGAGAACGAGACGCATTGAAGCGTTCGGACAGGTATGGCCGCGGCCGGATGCAATGGGCCGGGTGCTCAGATTGGCGATGAGCATTAATCCGCGGGTCAAGGGCTTGGTGGTTTCCCAACTGAAAAGAATGCTGAAAAACATCCAACCAATGAAACCCATGGTTTAATATGGAAAGCATGGGGATTGGCAACAGCTGTCCACGAGCACAGTCCAAAAGTGGCCTGTCAGGGGATCCATCCGTATCGCATGTGGGTCCCGATCGGGGTTTCATATTGGCGCTTTGTGAGATTCACCCGGCTCCTGGGAGTTGAGCTGGTGTGACAAGGCTCACGCTTTCTTAGGTCTTTTGGAAACAATGTCATGGTTGAACCCAACATATTTGTGGTCAGTGCTGGTGCCTTTACTGCTGTTTGCCGTGGGCACTCCTCGCAAACTGAGACTTGCCATTCGGCGATGCCCGCCAATGCTGCGTATGAGTTTGACACGGAGAAGCACTGAAGAACGCAGTTGAAGCTTCTGGATCTAACAGCGATTGCAAGGAAGAACCTGTGCTGAAGCAGAACATTGGAACCTAGAGAGAGAGCTCATGATTGAGAAGAAGATAAGTTTCACATCTTTGTTCGCACGCATTGATGCTCTGATCATTCCTCATCACCTCCATTTGTCAAATATCATAGCACAGAAAGCCTGCATTGGTTGGATTGAATGAAGGACATACATATCCTTCAAGTTTCGCCTCAGTGAGGAAGATTTGCGCAGATTCCAGCGCTGAGCACATACATCCCACGTGAGTCAGAATATGTTCAACAGAAGTTACAGGAACCTAACATATGTTTTGTTCAAAACAATACTTCTCCACAAGCGAGTAGTTTCAGGTTGCATGTGTTTTGGGGGTATGTCCGGCGAAGTTACAAAATGACGATTTGTTCAAGATCCTTTTGAAATGAGCATGTTTGCTGGTAGAGTCTATGCAGTCTTCAATGAAGGGTGGCTGGGTGGATTGGGTGGGCTCACGGGGGGAGGGGCGCGTATTTTCAAGGAGAACGGGTCGTTTGCTTTCCTTCGCTCGAAGATTGAAGGCGTGTGCTACAGCTTGCGCTTGGTTTGAGGTGGCCAAGCCGAAGCCAGGCGAGGACGGGAGAAGGTTGCAGCCTGATGCAACTGCTAAAACGGTCCCTTGAAACCCAACAGTTTCACCGGTTTCCAGCGGGTCACGTGAAGCCGCCCCAAAGACAGCTGGCCAAGCGGCCGTTGAGAGGCAACCGCCGCATGTTTAGGAGAGGCTGGGTGGCTACCCTTTCATACAAAGATCCCTCCAAATGGATTGTTTCGTGCTGGCCTCCATTCAAAATCGACCGAAGTTGCCCTTGGGAGCAGCAGTGGGTGTTCTTTTATGTGCCTTTTAGCCAGCTCCCGCCCACCTGGTCATTGTTTGCAAAATGTTGGACTGCTTTGTTGAAAGCCTCCTGGGGATCGTTCACAGTTGCGTCGAATTCTGCGTCAGATGAACGTTTTACTCGAACAAACGTTTGGCAATCATTTGACTCGATGCTCGAACGGCGCACGGTTTAGGATTTCGGTTCCATTTGCTGAGGTCTGACAAATGTCAAATTCTTCCAATGTGGCCTTCCAAACAGAGAACCCCTGAATTTTGAAGCTATGAAGATTAGAGGTGGCACGAGCACATGGCATGAGCCCAGTTGCAGGCGAGTGTCCGCCAGTCCGGTCCCTTTGAAACTTGCAGCAGTTCAACCGAGGATTTTTCTGGAGGATAAGTTGTCAACTGGGGGTGACATTTCAACCTCGACAGGCAGTTGACACATTATCCCAAGACTTGAGCAGTGAGTGACTCACTTTGGCTATTTGTGGGCAAACAAACTGGAACTTTGGTGGGTGACTCATATTATGCGCTGTTCCAAGTCCATATTGCGTATTTGTGATGGCTCAGGTGACCCACCGCATAGCCACTATGTAAAAGAAACATACACATACCCTCGTTGTAGGCATCGACCTTTTGTGAGCAGTTTCCACTTTCTTCATGGAAACCAGTCACAGCAAAATCTACCGTTGGGTAGCCAAATTGCGAGGTACCCACCAGGCCTAGCTTCCTGGATTTGCTATGGTGAAAAAGGTGTTTTGTTCAGGTTCGTATATTTTTTTGGGTGGTTGGCCACATCCCGAACATTAGACAAGCGATGGTTTATCTTTGGTGCATTTTGCTTGGATGTTAGGACTTTACCTTTTTGCCAACTAATGGGTTTTCCGTCAAACCACGAAAAGTTAAACTTTTAGCAGGGGGGCAGAACGCAACGGGGCAGGCCGGGCTTTGAGCCGCGGCGCGGGGCAGGCGAAGAGAAGCCGGAGGCGCCGGATGCTCCGGAGGCCGAGGCCAAGCGCCCGAGCTGGGCGGAGAAGGCGCGGGAGGAACGCTGCAAGAACTGGTTTTGGGAAGCGTTTGAGGGGAGCTGGGGACTGATGATGGCTACGAAAGATTCCCAAAAGTGAAGGTCCAAAGATCCGGATCCAAATTTTGGCTGGATCTTTGGAGGTTCACTTTTTGGGAAATGTTGCAGATGGGTCAACAGCAATGAAGTTGGGAATGGCAACATTTGATGGCCCTATGCTTTCAACCTTCCCTCCTACAAAACCTGACTGGATTTTCCCCCAGGGGGAAATGGTGCAATCTCCAAACCATGAGCCTCCAGTCAGGAGTGAGGGTCGGGCTGGAAGGCTTTGGGAGGCCCTCCTCACAGGTGGGTTTGCCGTTTGGTGAGTCCATGCATCCATTGCTTTTGTTGCAGGACGGGAGACATGGGAGTCGTTCTAAGGCCCTTCTAAGGAATTGTCTGACTTGAGCAATGAAAAGGGCACGGCGATGAATCCGCGAAAGATTCGCAAAAGTAACTTTGTTTATTCGCGAAGAATGGCCGTTTTGAGACTAAGGCATTCAGAACAACCACCACATAGATGCGACGAGGGATGAACGACTTCTCATGTCAAAGTGCGGAATTTGGTGTAGCCTGATGTTGCCAGTACTTGGCTGTTTGTAGGATACTTGGTCAGAGTATGTGCCTGGATTGTTCCCGGAGATGCCACTCATTTGTTTTTGCCCAGTCTGGCCAACCAGCCAGCCAGCCAGCCGGCGAGCAAGCTCTGCAGGCAGCTAGCTATCAACAGCCCGGGAAATAAACATCCGATCTCATGAAGGATATGAGTGTGTGTTTTTCATAGGGGTCGGTTTCAAGGGAGCCCAACAGCTTTTGTTTGGAGGTCGAATAATTTTGACACATGCCCATAATATGAATGCTTGACCGCTTGGTGAAACCCTGAAGAAAATAAAGCTAATTGACTTTTGTCCGTTCAACCAACCAAACATGGGTCTCTAAAGAACGACGCACCCAACAAAAAACACACTAAACCAAAGCGCAGATTTGTCGCCTTCCTCCAAGTTTGGCTCAGCGCTCTCCCTTGCGAAGCTGGAAAGAAGTTGTCCGCGGTGCATCGGGTCCCAACACCCTGTGGTTTAGATCCCCCTTGGTCGTTTTGGATTTGGTTTTGGATTTGAACCCTCGGTTCTTGTTTGGGATAACTGGGGCGTTCCACCGGACCACCTCCAAACCGATTCGGCTCCAAACCACTTGGGAGGAGGCTGAATGGTTGCCGGCTGAAACCAGAATCCGAGATCTCGGGCGAAAAACCATCCGAGGTGTGCACGAACAGCTCACCCATGCCCAAGCCCTTGGGACTCACCCTGATCTTCTGGCTGGTGCTGTGGGGTCTACAGCACTGGATCTCACTTTGGCTGAAGAGCCGAACTTCGATCACAACAGCTGGGGGCGACTGAAAGGACCCACCGATCTTCTTTTGCACGTGTGTCGCCTATTTGAACCCTTGCAACTGGACGGATTTCCTGGAATAGAGAAGCCATTCAGAAAGCCAGGCCTCCAAATTACACCTGTGGTTGCGTCTCTGTTTCGTACTTTGGCAACCTTCCTGCGCCATGAAGGTGCTTGTTCATTTGCCCAGAGATGGTTTCTCTGTGGAAATGCCACCGGCTACGAAGATCAGCGAGCTGAAGGCATGGGCGACGTGTTTCGCCTTGCCAGGTGCGCGGCGGCCCTCCGAAGCCGGGATCCCCGGCCTAAAGCGGGGCGGGGTGGAAAACGGTCCCAAGCACCAGCCTTGAGGAAGCGGATCACACATTCCCCTTCGGATTTGTGAGTTGAGAAAGCTGAGGTCCCAAGCTCGCGCAGAAAGGCAAGCACTGCCAACTGGTCAAGCGCATGTCGCCAAAGGAAAAGCTTTTGATTCCCATGAGGAAGCCACGCAAACGGAGTCCTTGCTTTAGCTTGAGGACGTGAATGTACTGCAGGGATTGGCTCGCAAGGGTTTTCAAGGACAAACCAAATTACCGCGAGCTAGGCTCGGCTTCACTGGGTTCAGGGTTTGACTTCCAAGACCAGCCTTGCACAACCCTCCCTATTTAGATCGGCGAGCTTCAAGTCTGTGAGAATCCTTCGAGCCTCCCATCCACAAGCGAACCTCAGGGAGGTCCTGGACCACCATTTTCTTTAAAAGGGCCCTGGCCAGGAGGGTGTCCATTCCCGCAGGTGGCAAGCAAAGCCCAAAGCTGCAGCATCAGAGGTTCGCCAGCGCGTTTTTGCTTTTGCGAGGTTCCCGGTTTGCGCCTATGTGTGTGTGTGTATGTGTTTTTTTTTTTGTTTGGCTTGGTTGGTTCGGTTTTTGATTCGTTTCGTTTGGTTTGGTTTGATTTCGTTTGTTTGGTTTGGTTTGATTGTGTTTAGTCTGGTTGTTTGTTTGTTTAGTTTGTTTGTTTGTTTGGTTGGTTGGTTGGTTGGTTGTTTGTTTGTTTGGGACTCTCTCTGTGTATTTGCTCGGTTGTTTGGTTGCTTGTTTATTTGTTTGTTTGTTTTGTTTGTTTGTTTGTTTGTTTGTTTGTTTGTTTGTTTGTTTGTTTTAAGAAGCCTCAACCCCCCCCCCTTTGGGCCAAATAGGTGGGAAGCTTCCGGAAGCCTTGGGGAAGCCTCCGGAAGCCTTGCGGAAGCTTTAGGGAAGCTTTGGGCAAAAGGGCGGGAAATTGGGGATGAAACAAGGGTGGTCCCCCCCTCCCCCCCCCCTTTTCCCGAAGCTTCCCCAAGGCTTCCGGAAGCTTCCCCAAGGCTTCCGGAGGCTTCCGGAAGCTTCCGGAAGCCTTGCGGAAGACTTACGGACTTCTGAAGCTTCGGGGGAGCGGACGGGAATGGCAGGGGGACCGGGAAGGAAGGGGTAGTGGTGGGTGTCATTTTCCAGCGCTTGTCGCGCCGCCAGTCAGTGGGGAACCCTTTGGGAGCCAAATACTTTAACAGTGCTATTACACTCCAATAGCAGTGCTATGGCGTGTCTCAAGGAGGGGGGGGGGGGGTAAGGGGGGGGTTTATGCTTTCTTAATTGTTTGTTTGTTTGTTTGCTTGCTTGCTTGTTTGTTTGTTTGTTTGTTTGTTTGTTTGTTTGTTTGTTTGTTTGTTTGTTGTGATTGTTTCTTCGTTTGTTTGCCTGCTCGTTTGTTTATTGTGTTGTTTGATTGTATTATTTCTTGCTTGTTTGCTTCCCTGCGAGCCAGAGAGAGAAAGAGAGAGGGAGAGCGAGCCACAACTCTGGTGGGAGATTGAACATGACTAGACCTGTCACGTTGACTACGATTGGATACCAGAGCGCGCGTTTGATGATCGAATGATGGGGAACAGACTGGGTCATTGTGCTCTTGCTCCTTCAAGCTTCCAGCACGGCTTGACGATGAAAAGCGCGGGGCATATTGGCAACCGTCAATATTGATGATAGTTTGACTACTGCACGTGATGCTCAACAATGTACATGATTGTGTGCTGAAAGAAAACAATATGAGTATAAAGTTTAGGGAACTCATATGTAATAATTTGGTCAGTGGGATTAAACAAAGGTACATGTACTGTACTGCAGTACTTATGCGGTATGGGACACATTCGAACTGGGTCATTCGGATGAGACCTTCAAGGTCGAGGATGCCTATGTTGAGACTTGTTTCGAGTGATTCGATTGCCAAGAGATCTAGACCCAGAATCTTTATGCCCCCCCCCCTTGAAAGCACATGAAGAAATGTTATGGGTTGAAAGGAGAGCCGACTTATGTTGGAAGGCCCTGTTTGATACATCACAAGAAATCCAAGCAAATGACTTCCCACACAAGCTGAAGGTTTGGGCAGGACGTGGGGGGCCCATCCAAATTTCCTGCAAACACCAGGGGGCCCACTAGCCCGCTGCAAAGCGACGAAGGGGGCCCACCCAATGTTCTCATCATGTCCTCTAGGGGAACAGTAACTTGTACCTGTCACATCCTCACACCCAGGGGCACAGTGTGCAGGCACAGCCACCAGAGAAGTCAACGGAGACGCCGACAGAGCCGACAGAGCCGAAAGAGAAGCCGAAAGAGAACCCGGACACACCACAGGCTTTCGGGGGATTGGGGCTGACACTCGTCAACAATCACTATTTTCAGCTCAAGCGCAGTAGCCTTCGGGCCTTTGTTTGAGAGGTTGGGTTGGGTTGTTGCCAAGCCTTCACCTTTGTGAAGGCACGCGTTTGGTCTGCTCTGAGAGAGGCCGCATTTCGTGGCGTTTTTTTTTCAAGGCGCAGGCCAGGAGGTACACAGGTGGCTGTTTGTTTATTTGGGGGGGGGTTCCATCCTTCACCTTCGGGAGGTTTCTAGCGGGGAGGTCTGGCCAGAAGGTCACCATGTTTTTCCCAGCCAACCAGAGTTGCAGATCCTTCCTTTCCGGATTTGATTCAATGAGTGTTGCAGGAACGGAACTTATTTGGGTACGTTGGATGTTGGCACGCATGCATTGAGTCAAGAGCAAGCAGCAAGTAGAAAGATGAAGGCCCATTAAACATGATGGTGCCTTTTGTTCGCAGTTCGCAAGTTTGGCCGACACACCAGCGGCAACCCACCAGCCGCTGCCACGGAATTCTGGGCCGCTCAGCCGTTTGGGGGAATGCAGAAGCTGTCTAGTGTCAACTTTGGATCCATCCGGAAGACCTTACTAGTCGAGGGGTCTTCCGAATTATGTTCCAAAATTCGCATTATTGTGGGGGCGGGGGGGGTGGGGTTCTCGTATTCTTGGATTTGGGATCCCCTTTTGGGTTGGTAAGGGGAAGAGTCCCAATCTTAGGCGCAGAATCGATGTATCGGCTGGCTGTGGTGTGTCCCTATCAAGTGCCCTGCCCATGTTCAAGGTCTGGGCCTCGAAGCGTTTTCCCCGGCAGGTGCTTACTTGGGCCGAGAAGGCGCGCACGAAGCGATACGGGAGCCGGGAGGGGGCTGGAGATGTCCGAATTGGCAGGTGCTCCGCGTTTTTGAGCTCTTGTCTGATGTTGGATACTTGTTGGTTGCCAGAGAGGGGGCTTCATTCTGGTGTCTTGGTGCTTGATAGGATCTTGCCAAATGTTGCTTGTTGTGGATGGTGCCATAGGCAGTGTGCACGTGTTTGACTTGCTTCCGGCAACTTGCTGGGCTCAGTGCACACTTTGGGCGGGCATTTCAAAAAACTGGAGCTAAGCTCCTCCCAATGCAGAATCGGCATATATCCAAGCACGTAATGCACGGTCCTCAGGTGTGGTCTCCCTCTTTCTGTCTACCCCAGAAGGGTTGACAGCCCAGAAAGGGCCGCTTTTCGCTTCACTGGAAGATCGTGTGTCATATATCTCCATGAAAAAGAGAACAGCATGCTGGAATGCTGCCCGACCTTAGACGCTGGGTGCGAACTGATTCGAGCTATTTGGGTACGAGTGATGGCACATGTGAGCGATGGCACGGAGTGCGAGTTAAGATGCATGTCCCTGTTCACGTGCTGTCTAAACTTCAAGAATGCAACAGAGTGTGCACATCTATCATACATGTATACATGCACACATGAACCGAGAGAAAAAGAGAGAAACAGAGAGAAAAAGAGACAAAAAAAAGGCAAAAGAGAAAAAGAGAAAGAACAAAAAGGGAGAGAGACAGAGCGAAAGAGAGAAAGAGAGAGAGAGAGAGATAAAAAAGGGAGAAAGGGAAAGTGAAGGAGAGAAAGAGAGAGAGAGAGAGAGACAGAAAACAAAGGGGAGAGAGAGAAAGAGAGAGAGAGAGAGAGAGAGAGAGTTGGCTTCTCTTGATTTCCTTAGCAAACTTGGAACCGTCCGCTTAACATGATACCAACTCCATCTCTGTTTGTGGAGCAAACCTTGCTGGTTTGGATATTGTTGTTGTTGTTGTTGTTGTTGTTGTTGTTGTTGTTGTTGTTGTTGTTGTTGTTGTTGTTGCTGCTGTGCTGTGTTGTTGTTGTTGTTGTTGTTGTTGTTGTTGCTGTTGCTGTTGCTGTTGCTGTTGCTGTTGCTGTTGCTGTTGCTGTTGCTGTTGCTGTTGCTGTTGCTGTGCTGTTGCTGTTGCTGTTGCTGTTGCTGTTGCTGTTGCTGTTGCTGTTGCTGTTGCTGTTGCTGTTGCTGTTGATGTTGCTGTTGTTGTTGTTGTTGTTGTTGTTGTTGTTGTTGTTGTTGTTGTTGTTGTTGTTGTTGTTGTTGTTGTTGTTGTTGTTGTTGTTGTTGTTGTTGTTGTGGT